GGCATGGACATGGATACATAAAGACAACACGTCAGGTATGGACATGGATACATAAAGACAACATGTCAGGTATGGCCATGGATACATAAAGACAACATATCAGGCATGGACATGGATACATAAGGACAACATATCAGGCATGAACATGGATACATAAAGACAACATGTCAGGTATGGACATGGATACATAAAGACAACATGTCAGGTATGGCCATGGATACATAAAGACAACATATCAGGCATGGAGATGGATACATAAAGACAACATGTCAAGCATGGACATGGATACATAAAGACAACATGTCAGGTATGGACATGGATACATAAAGACAACATGTCAGGCATGGACATGGATACATAAAGACAACATGTCAGGTATGGACATGGATACATAAAGACAACATGTCAGGTATGGACATGGATACATAAAGACAACATGTCAGGTATGGACATGGATACATAAAGACAACATGTCAGCCATGGACATGGAAGCATAATAAACATCTTATGGAGTCAACATTTAAATACTGCAGCAAGGTACAGACATTTTATAGTTTCTTAAGACACGGTTAAAGGAGTGATATCTTACTCAAAAGAAACCACGTTTCACTGTAAAAATTAACCCCTGACAGGCATATTTTATTTGACATCAATAATTTCAATTAGCTTACTGATGTTACTCACTCATATACGTATATACCTAAGTAAGTTTTATAAAACTAACTAGAATAAGTAGGGGACAACATATCCCCTTCATTTACGCCAAACAAATAAAATAATCAGTGATATGTTTTACACATAAAACCAAAGACATACTTATAGGTCAAAATAATAAAACAACAGGTTGTGTATTTATTCGCTTCAACAAGGATGACATAATAATAATAATAATATTAAATTAACTATCCTGTATTTAAAAAACTCGATAAAAGAATAATTCCACAATCTTCCTAGTAAACCTACACCAGCCTGACGCAAAAAAAACAACAACAAAAAAATGGTTATCTAGTCTGTGCTTGTAGATCCTGAAAATACACAACATATCAACGTCTTGGTATATTACATGTGGAGTGGCAGATAAAGTAGTGGGCGACATGTCATACATATGCCACAGAACAATCAATGATTCATTGTAAAAATCATCAGGCTGTGCAATATACCAACAATGAACTAGTGCAGTTATAACGATCTGTTCTATGTAACCAAACAAACCTGACACAGTTATGTACAGCATGTACAGTAAGTTATGAAGTCAACAAAACATTTGACCATAGCAAAGTGGACCAACCTACCTCTATCGATCTAGGAAGGAAAACTTCTACAAGCTAATACATCATACTTTTTTCACAAAGAAACACCAGTACACTAGTCATACCTGTAAACCAAATCAGCACCTGAAGTTGATACGGAATATTGAGCTGTCTGCCATTTTACCTTACCTTTATTCACTCGAGTTATATATCAATGAAACGTTTCACTCGTCCTATACATCGAGCAGTTGGTACCTGTACACAAACATCTGACCATCGAACGTAAAGCTACCAGACTTCCGCGCCCAGATATATACAAAACCGCGTTTGTTGCGTCTCAGCTGATCGTAACGCCGTGTCTGTCGCCGCCATGACGTTTAGTTAAAACAAGATATATGCAACTGTCCATCCCGTTATCCATTTCTCTCCTGCTTTGTTTTACAAAGCATTTAGCTTAATATTTCTCACATCGGAAAGATTTATACAAGTTCCTTTTTTATTTACTTCGAGTATTTCAAGAAATTAGCCTTTCTAAACAAAGCATAATGGCACACACATCAATTACACCAAAAATACTCCAAACCAATTTTTTTTTATGTGGTGGGATTTGAAACAGTAGACCATTGATTCGATTAACTACGCTGTAACACATTTTATTTCTTTCCGATATGTTTGGCGTGAATTAATTCAATACATTGTCACTAGATGGCAGTTAATGCATACATTCTAACGAATTTTTTTTCCTTTGTGTATCATTTCCAAAGCTATTATTATCTTCATTCCACGTGCTACATTTTTTTTCCAAATATTTAGCAAAAATATTTTTCTGTGTTTAATGTTTATAATTTCTCTAGTTTGCATATGATTAAACATGCTATTTTCGTATTCATAAATCACGTTAAAAAACAATGCCTTTAATTTTGTGCACGAAGATACAACGAAACAAGTAATGAGAATAAAGCGGCCCGAGCAATACATGTGGTTTACCATACTTTGTTACATTTATCGGTACTTGAAAGTTAACTGTAGTAAAGACATATTAACCCCTTTTTTCCGTACACCATTCGCTGGCTATTTACATATATATATAGAAGTTAA